TATTACCTAATGTGAGGAACTAAAAATTCTGAGGACAACTCCAAACAAACCAGTCAGGCCATCACAAGATCACAAGATCATCACAGCCACCAATTACCATATGCCAAGCACTCTAGTAAGCACTTGACACTCACTCGCTCACTGCATTCTCATAACCCAATAATGGTAGAAACTACTGTTATCACTATCGTAAGGTCCAGACACTGAGAATCCAAGAAGCTGGGTGACTTATCCGTATTCTCTTAACTAATAATTGGTGGAGCCAAAATAATAACCCAAGCCTCCCTCGTTTCAAAGCTTGATTGATTTTGTTAACCACTATGCTATAGGTTCCTCCCCACCTTAATGTTGAAGAGAGAATTATTCCTAAAAGTCATCTCACCTATTTTTTAATACTTTATAAAATGGAGATTTTTAAGACCAAAAAAACACTGAAAATAAAAGGATTGCTTCATAATGAAATGTTTGATTCATCAGAAATTTATTAAAAATCACATTTGTATTCCCATATAACAGTCTAAAAATGTACAATGCTAAATAATTCAAAACCACAAGTTCAAATCTACAATCATGTTGGAAGATTTAAACATACCTCTCTCCTAGTCATCAGGCAGAAGCAAATATAAACCCCCTTGGAGGACATAATATATACCAGAGCATCACATTATCTCTTCAATTTTAAATACTCCGTGGAACATTCAATCAAAATTAGCCATTCATATGGGTATGCAAGAAAACAATGTGACCGAAAGTCAAAAGAAACAACAAACAATAAAAATAAACCTAAATGAAATCCAGGGAATGGAATTATCAAATACAGACATTAACAATAATTAGTTTGAGGAGTGAACCGTCTATATTGAAAACTAAGGGAAATCTTCAAATTAGAAAAGGACTGAATGGAAAAATTCTGTAGCCAAAGTTTTAGAACTGAACTTAAACACTCAAACAATGCATTTAACAGAAAATTAGATTATTTGAGGAGAATTCCTATTAGTAAACAGGTAGACAATATCCACAGTAAACTGCCAAGAGATGGAAGTCTAGAAAAACACAGGAAAGAGCATAAAGGTTATATGGGACAGGATGAAAGGGCCTAGCCTACATGTCATTGTCCGAGGAGAAACAAAAAAGAATCAATCAGAAGAAAAATGTGAGGAGATAATGACTAAGAATTTCCCAAAACTGTTTAAAGGCTTCTAAGTTGCAGATTCAAACCCAAGTACAATGAATTAAAATACATGCATGCACATAACATAGGTATTTGTAGTAAAACTGCCAAAAACCAAAGACAAAGATCAAACCATGTGAGCAAACAGAGGGGAAATAGACTTATTTCTTTCAAAAAAACGGTAATAAGATCAAAAGCTAACTTACCAACAGAAACCAGAAAAAACAGAAAAGAATAGTATCTCTTCAAAGTATGAAAAAATAAGTCTACACATCTAGAATTCTATATCCAGTAAAAACGGAAGTAAAATACAGATATTTTCAGATGCAAAACAAAATGTATCACCAGGAAACTGTACTAAAGAAACACTGAAACATTCTTCAAAAAGACAAATGACCCCAGATGGAAACTAAGAACTACAGTATGTAATTAAAAACAAAGCAAAGAGCAAATATGTTAATACATTTAAATAAATCTTGATTCCATGAAGCAGTAATAACAATATCTTGTGGGGCTAAGAATATAGAGAAAACTAAAGCACACCATATACCATATATAAAGTACAGCATATACCACAAGTTAGGACGAGGATAAATGGAGTTAATGTGGTCCAAGTTTCTAGCACTGGCAGGAAAATGAAATATCAGTAAGAATCCATAGAGTATGCTTCACTTCATGGAACAATTCTATTGCTTGGAAAAGGTGCCAATATAGCAAATTTGTTTTTGTTATTAAATGCTATTATAATATCATAGCTATGAGCTCTTATGAAGTCTTAACCACAAATCTCAAAAAAAAAAATCACATCTAGCGATACAAAGAACATATTTAGATTACATGTAGGGAAAAAAAGCTTTTTAAAGAATATCCCAAATGAATCCTCACAAAAGAATACTACATATTAGACTGTGAGTCAAGAAAAAGAGACAATAATAACAGCTCTCTAACTTTGTGACCTGTCTTTTGTCCCTTATCCTCTCTGGGGTCCACCTGACTTAACTGCAGAGTGAGGTAAGTTTGCAGATGACCTCCAAAAGGAGAGGTTCTCCTATCTGACCTCAACCTAGCAGCCAGCTAGAGTCACCGATAACGCCCCATTCTTCGTGGCTGGCCCACAGAGCATGCCGTATTCTTGCCACTATTGGGTCACTCTGTGACTGTGAATGACAGAGCCTCCTGCTCACTAAGAGCCTGTAGTGTGTATACAAATCTGTTGTGCTTGTTATTGTAACAATATATTTTATTTAATATTACATAAATACCCAACTATGACAGCAAAAGAAGACTGTTGTTTCTTTGAGAACAAGGGTGAGTGTTTTGTAAAGATGATTACACAGAGGAGACTTGCTTTAAAAATTTGAAGTTGATGACTATAAAACATTGAAGGGAAAATATCTCTCAGATTATGTCAGAGATCTTTAGATTTGTACTTCTCTTTAAATAAACTAAAGTTTGGACAACGAAGACAATATTTGGGGGTGTCATTTATGCAAAAAAGATGATGCAGGACTATAATTAGTAGATTTGCACTTTAAAAAGCCTAGAATCTATATCAAGTCTATGTAAATTAGTACATTTAGGTGTCTTAATTTAATACAAAATGTTCTAGGTGCATATGCATTGGGTTTTTACGGCTAGTTTTTAAACACATTCTGTGCTTTATCCAACTTTTTAATTAAACTGTCTTGATCTTGTTAGATAACAAGGTTTCTTCTGTAATTTCATAATTAGGATTCCATTTATAAGAATTGAACACAGTGATTCCAAGCCAGGCACAGTGGCTCATGCCTGTAATCCCAGCATTTTGGGAGGCTGAGGCAGGTGGATTGCCTGAGGTCAGGAGTTTGAGACCAGCCTGGCCAACATGGTGAAACCCTGTCTCTACTAAAAATACAAAAATTAGCCAGGCATGGTGGCGCACACCTATAGTCCTACCTACTCAGGAGGTTGAGGAAGGAGGATCACTTGAACCCAGGAAGAGGAGGTTGTAGTGAACCGAGATTGTGCCACTGCACTCCAGCCTGAGCGACAGAGCAAGACTGTCTCAAAAAAAAAGAATTGAACACAGTGGTTTTAATAGGCACCCAGCTTCTATAAAATCTCCTTGGCATTCTGAAATGGTTCAAAGGTTGATTCTTCAACCTCTGCTTCTGTGCTTTTTAATCACACTATCAGGCTTTTCAAAAGAACAGGTCGATCTGAGACAAGTAAGACCACAACAAGGACAAGCATCTGAAATGACTGGGCCAATGAATAGGAAAGCACTTTAACCTTTGGGTCCTCTCCAAAAATTCCAGGTCCCATGCTTGTCCCATTATTTCACAATCACCTTTCACTCCTACTAATGGCCTCAGTACCTTTAGATTGGATAGGAAACTTAGTAGAAACAGCATTACCTGTCAAATGACGAGACATAGATCCTCAAAATTAAAAGTGATCTTTGAGGCCATTGCAAGAAACTGCCTCAGTTTCCCCATGCTACTCTTCCTGTCCCAAAACACTGAAGTAGAGACAAATGAGATCCACAAAAAGTTTTTCATAAATTTTCTTGAGGTATTTTAAATGTTATCTGGTACCAACACATTTTAACACAGATGAATTAACCAAATACATAGCTGTGTTTGATGTAGAAATAAATAAGGGATGCAAGATGTAAATAGAATCAGAGTTTTCTAGCAGAAGGCGGGCTCACTCTTGTCAATGTCCTGGGGCAATCAGACACAAATACTGACTCACACTAACTAAAATGTACGGAAGGCCTGAGGAAGGCATCAGGGTGGCAATCTATTAATTTAAAGTGAGAAATAGAATTGTCACACAGACTGGAATTATTCAGGTTGGCATCATAATCTCTTTTTCTCCCTGTAGTCAGGGAAAACCAAATTGTAATCAGAAGCCACTCATTACCACGAGAAATCACTGTGAAAGACTCAGAAATATTTAAAATCTGTGTATTTTCTGCGTTCTCTCTCTCCATGAGCAGAACTTCACTGGAACCAGAAAACTGCTGCGAGGACACAGAATCAGGAAAGGGGGAGTCAGATGAAGCTCCTGTTTTTACATCAAGTGCACAATAGGAACACTCTTGCCTTTGGGACTGGAATTTCTGGAAATGTGATGGTGAATTCTCCCACTCCAAGGGACAGAGCTGGTATGGGATTTTTCAAAACAGGAATCTCTGGTGATTCTCCTTTTTTCTATGCTTCCCACAGCTCACTAAGCCCTCTGCTTTGGATGTATCATTTATTTAAATATGTTAATACAATTATACAGGCATTGAAAATTACAGTCTCACAAGGCTGGACACCAATCTGTCTCTTCTAGGGAACTCTACACATCCCTGTTCCAGCTGCACTGCTTTACAGTTTAACTCTACTTTCCTCACTTCTCAGTTCTTGGAGAGGTACTAGAACGCCCAAGAACCAACCATACTTGACACTGACTTGTGGAAGAGACAAGCCTGTTTGAAGTACAGGTTCAAAAATGATTCCCAGCTAGACTTTGATGATCTTAAATCTGTACTAATTGTGTCAGTTTATTCTCAAAAACCAAATCTGTATGTTAAAAAAAAAAATCCTGAAGTTTATCAAACAAAACATGGTTTTCCCATTTATCAGAATTTGATGTTTTGCCAAACCATTTTATTTCCAAACATTTTAAGAATGCACTGTAGAATACATTTTTTAATAACTTACACTTTAGGTCTACAGATTCATGTACAACCTCATTGTACCCCAACTGTCTTATTATCCTCTCCTCATTTTCAAGCTTCTTAAAATAAAATTCAAACCAAAGTAATAGTGAACCACATAGAATTCTGAAAAATTACCTGAAGTCATGTTAGAATGGCATATTGAAGATCCTGATGGCATCCTTGCCCCTGACACCTAACAGAATGAGAAAAAAAATAAAAAAGTAGGCCAAAAATTTTCATGACAGCAACCAAACCCAGAAAGGGTCATAATCTAACTTAATAAGCTTCAGAAACAGGACATTTTGAATCAAAGAAAAGAGGTTCTGCACAAATTGACTTCTGAATAATCCCTTATTCTTGCCCCTCCAATATTTCAAGCCATTGATTTTAATAAAATATTGGAAATCCTCACTGATATTCCCAGATCTGAAGAGAAGAAAACCGAATGGTTAACATTAACTCTGTCCTCAGAGGAAAGAGGGTTAATGTTAACCAGAAACTCATTGCTGGGAGAAATGTATGAAATAGAATAAATGAATGACAGAGCAGACTTGAGCCAAAGAGGGTGCTCCAGGGCAGCATACTGGAAAGATGGTGTGGTGGTTAATGTTTGGTGTCAACTTGATTGCAGGGTGACTAGATCGCTGGGAAAGTATTGTTTCTGGGTGTGTCTGTGAGGGTGTTGTCAGAGGAGACTGACATTTGAGTCAACGGACTGCGAGAGGAAGACCCGCCCTTAATGTGGGTGCACACCATCCAACTGGCTGCTGGCATGACTAAAACAAAGCAGGCAGAAGAAGGTGAGATAAGTCAGCTTGCTGAGTCTTCTGGCTTTCATCTTCCTCCTGTGCTGGATGTGTCTGTCTGTTCTTCCTGTCCTTGGACATCAGACTTCAGGTTCTTCGGATTTGGACTCCTGGACTTACAAGTCTGAGATCAAACTGCAAGGTGGCAGCGAGGCTGGGGGAAGGGCATCCACCATTGCTGAGGCTTAAGTAGGTAAACAAAGCAACTGGGAAGCTCCAACTGGGTGGAGCCCACCGCAGCTCAAGGAGGCCTGCCTGCCTCTGTAGACTCCACCTCTAGGGGCAGGGCATAGCTGAACAAAAGGCAGCAGCAACTTCTGCAGACTTAAACATCCCTGTCTGACAGCTTTGAAGAGAGTAGTGGTTCTCCCAGCATGGAGTTTGAGATCTGAGAGCGGACAGGCTGCTTCCTCAAGTGGGTCCCTGACCCCTGAGTAGCCTAACTGGGAGACACCTCCCAGTAGGGGCCGACTGACACCTCATACAGCCGGGTGCCCCTCTGAGATGAAGCTTCCAGAGGAAGGATCAGGCAGCAACACATGCTGCTCTGCAATATTTGCTGTTCTGCAGCCTCTGCTGCTGATACCCAGGCAAACAGGGTCTGGAGTGGACCTCCAGCAAACTCCAACAGACCTGCAGCTGAGAGGGTCCTGACTGTTAGAAGGAAAACTAACAAACAGAAAGAACATCCACACCAAAACCCCATCTGTACATCACCAACATCAAAGACCAAAGGTAGATAAAACCACAAAGATGTGGAGAAACCAGAGCAGAAAAGCTAAAAATTCTAAAAATCAGAGCACCTCTTCTCCTCCAAAGGAATACAGCTCCTCACCAGCAATGGAACAAAGCTGGACAGAGAATGACTTTGACAAGTTGACAGAAGTAGACTTCAGACAATCGGTAATAACAAACTTCTCCGAGCTAAAGGAGGCTGTTCAAACCCATCGCAAAGAAGCTAAAAACCTTGAAAAAAGATTAGATGAATGGCTGACTAGAATAAACAGCATAAAGAAGACCTTAGATGACCTGATGGAGCTGAAAACCATGGCACGAGAACTACATGACAAATGCACAAGCTTCAGTAGTGGATTCAATCAAGTGGAAGAAAGGTTATCAGTGATTGAAGATCAAATGAATGAAATGAAGTGAGAAGAGAAGTTTAGAGAAAAAAGAGTAAAAATAAATGAACAAAGCCTCCAAGAAATATGGGACTGTGTGAAAAGACCAAACCTATGTCTGATTGGTGTACCTGAAAGTGATGGGGAGAATGGAACCAAGTTGGAAAACACTCTGCAGGATATTATCCAGGAGAACTTCCCCAACCTAGCAAGACAGGCCAACATTCAAATTCAGGAAATACAGAGAATGCACAAAGACACTCCTCAAGAAGAGCAACCCCAAGACACATAATTGACAGATTAACCAAGGTTGAAATGAAGGAAAAAATGTTAAGGGCAGCCAGAGAGAAAGGTCGGGTTACCCACAAAGGGAAGCCCATCAGACTAACAGCAGATCTCTCAGCAGAAACTCTACAAGCCAGAAGAGAGTGGGAGCCAATATTCACCTTTCTTAAAGAAAAGAATTTTCAACCCAGAATTTCATATCCTGCCAAACTAAGCTTCATAAGTGAAGGAGAGATAAAATCCTTTACAGACAAGCAAATGCTGAGAGATTTCGTCACCAGGCCTGCCTTGCAAGAGCTCCTGAAGGAAGCACTAAACATGGAAAGGAACAACCAGTACCAGCCACTGCAAAAACATGCCAGATTGTAAACACCATTAACGCTGAAAAGAAACTGCATCAACTAACAAGCAAAATAACCAGCTAACATCATAATGACAGGATCAAATTCACACATAACAATATTAACCTTAAATGTAAATGGGCTAAATGCTGCAATTAAAAGACACAGACTGGCAAATTGGATAAAAAGTCAAGACTCATCTGTGTGCTGTAATATTCAGGAGACCCATCCCACATGCAGAGACACACATAGGCTCAAAATAAAGGGATGAAGGAAGATCTACCAAGCAAATGGAAAGCAAAGAAAAAGCAGGGGTTGCAATCCTAGTCTCTGATAAAACAGACTTTAAACCAACAAAGATCAAGAGAGACAAAGAAGGCCATTACATAACGGTAAAGGGATCAATTCAACAAGAAGAGCTAACTATCCTAAATATTTATGCACCCATTGCAGGAGCACTCAGATTCATAAAGCAAGTCCTTAGAGACCTACAAAGAGACTTAGGCTCCCACACAATAATAATGGGAGACTTTAACACCCCACTGTCAACACTAGACAGATCAATGAGACAGAAAGTTAACAAGGATATCCAGAACTCGAACTCAGCTCTGCATCAAGCAGACCTAATAGACATCCACAGAACTCTCCACCCCAAGTCAACAGAATATACACTCTTCTCAGCACCATATCACACTTATTCCAAAACTGACTACATAGTTGGAAGTAAAGCACACCTCAGCAAATGTAAAAGAACAGAAATTATAACAAACTGTCTCTCAGACCACAGTGCAATCAAA